TCTCAGAATCACTCACTGGGTGAACAATACTATCACTCATCTTTGCTGAAAACAGGAAATGTTGAAGGTAAAAGCTTGATTAGAGAAAAGTACCTAGTTATATGAGATTGATGAAGTAAAGTAAATGAAGAAATTCATAGACTTTGATAAAAAAAGATACAATTGCTAGTGAGTGTTTTCAGGAAGGAATAAGAGAAGATATTTTCTAATTAGAGCTGCTATGAATGAATTTGAATGTCAAGGATTATGAAAAGTTTCCTCGGTGCTCAATTCCCCTTATTTATATCCAAAGACGTTTAAACCACCCAACTATCAAGGAGAGCTGCATAATCAACAATTGGATTTTCTCTTGGAAATTCAAATAAACTAGAGTGCACTACAAGCAGTTCCATACCCTAGCTAGTCACATCAACCCACGTGTCAAAAGGAAGCAATGAAAAATTTCAATTTTGGAAATGCATTTAATGCACTTGTCCCTTACTACTTTTCCAACTGACTCCAAGAGTTTCTTTTCTAGTCCGAATCAGAAATCATATTGGAAGGTCGACCCCAAGCAAAGAAATATTCCTTGACTCTCTCACTTCCCAACAACACCTTAGGGGAAACTCTTTTGCACCGACCAAAAGCGCCGAATGGTTGAGGCTCAAACTCACTCCACATGACCCACGATATAAAAATCATTCCACACGGAAAGCAAGATACATTATTTTGCTCCTCAAAGAGCCTCCCCGAATTCTCCTCGGCCAACTTCTGAGCCTTTTCCTCATCACAACGCCCCTTCTCAACCGTGACCAGCTTAACCCGTAGCTTCTTCAGCTCATCCTATTGCAAAGAAATCCCCTCGGTATAAGTAATGACCATATCCAAAATCCTCATTAGACCACCAGCGTCATGCGCCAACATTGCCTTCTTTTCCGGGAGATCCAAACCCTCGAGGTGAAGAGACTCAACCTGGGGTAGTCGAAGAGTTGCACCCTCGAAGAAAGCCTTATCCAGCCAGCAAGGGGAAAGGTCGTACGCCCCTTTCCCCTTCTCCCTAGTCAGATCAACACCTCCCTCGACACGTGGAATCTTTGCCTTCGAGGATACTGGAGCGGGAGAGAGAGCAATTGTAGCTTAGCCCGAAAATGAATTACCCGACCCTAATGTGGGAGCAGCCCCCGAACCAGTTTGAGCATCCTTCAAAGCTTTCTTCGCTCTAGCAGCAAGATTCCTGGCTATACGCTCTTGAGCAGGATTCATGCTATCTGCAAAACAAACAAAAAAATCATAGTTAGCAAACGAGGACCCAAAAATCTTCGACCACATATAACTATTCAAAACATAAATACCCAAATATTTGACATGATCCTCACTCTCGAGAAGCTCCTTGACAACTATTAAACCAGGCTCGTATACGACCTCCCCGTTATTGTCTGTCACCAGTTTACCTCCCCGGCCTGTTTGCTAGACATGAGGGATCTGTGCCACAAAAGCGGTCAAGACAACAAAGCTCTCCTGGTCCTCGACACCGAGTTCCCCCTCCTTCCATACGTAGGAACCTAATTTGTTATCAAAATGCTTCCTCGTCAACTGGAGAGGAAACTTGTAAACCAGCTGGTTCACATGCTCTCCCAACTCGTTCAAATGAGGGGCCCCATTCTCATCATACACCGGTACATTCCTAAAAATGTTCAGCATCGCTCTGCTCGAGAGAGGCCGCACCATAATATATTTATCCATAAAATGCGGGACAGACTCCAAGTAAGCTTTGAATAGCTTCTCGTTGCCTTTCTTCAGGGTAACCCATCCCCACTTACCATCAATCCTGCTCCTCTGAAGATGGAAACAGTAAAAGAACAGAGGGATGGTGGCCCCAATCTTCAAGTAGTCGCAAACGATCTCGAACGCCTGCATGAAAGCAACCTCATTCAGGTACAACTAGGAAGGGGCCAGTCGAAGATGACGAAAGACGACCACTTGGAAATCAGAAAAGGGGAGTCGGAGGCCCATCTCCCGAAATATGATGTCGTACATGGGGATCCTCCTCTTGTCATATTTGGAGCAGATCCGACTGTCTTTCCCGGGGATCCAAAACGACCAGTCCCCTCGACCTCCGTTGTCATGCGTGTATACCTCGGTGAAAACCTCATCATGGTGGTCAAAGAAATAAGAAATCCAATCCCAAGGATCTTGGGCGACCCAAGACCTCGGGTCCTCCTCTTCGTCAGGCGGAAACATGCCACCCTGATCGACGGGCTATATCTTTGCGTTCTCTCCTCCTAACTACTAATCGGATCTATTCGGTTCATCCCCAGAAATATTATGGATGCTCAACACACTTCCAGAAGCACCCTTCCACCACTAATCAAGTGAAAGGGCGATGATAAACAAGGACTATGTCCCCGACCAGAACCCTCACTAAGGCATCTGAGCGAACGACACTTCTTCAATAAGACAGGCCCCAGTCAGCAAAAAAAAACCTAATTCCTCAAGGGTCACCTACGGTGCATCACGAATGTCAGGAGAAAACCTGCGGCGGCTCTGGCATCTCTAAAATGCAGAACCACAGTTCGCTACCAACACTCGTCTAAAACACTCTAACTGACAAGATCTTAACCCTAATTGCGTGCATTTCTATGGCTAAACTCATGAATATCTGAACTATAAAGGTCTAATAACAACGAAGAATTGAAATCTTACCAGTTGGAGAAGAAAGAAGGATGAAAAGGGCGGTGGCGAGCAACAAATCTCCAAGAAACAACGGCGGTCGAACAAACGAGCAGGATGAGAGAAGAATAAAAAATAAAAAATGCCCTACTCCTCTCGTATTTATAGCTGGGACCGTTCGCGCATGAGAGACACACGCCTATGGAACCCTAGGGTCGCCATCATTACACCCTAGGCCATCATTGCACCGCTTCGTTAGTGCATTCTCGAAACATGCTACCTCTTTAGATTCGAAGCTTAAAACGGCCAACTCATCGTCTCCCCGCGAGAAAGGAGAAATGGACAACACTTATGTCCCTCGAAAAAAGCGCCTCATAGTACGAGCGGATGCTAAAGTCATCACTCATGTGCCCAGAAGCAACGACTCGGGGGACAATTGTTCTTGACTGGCCCAACATCCTGTATGGGCCTAGTCTAGAGTCCTCCTTCGATGAAGCACACACGACACTTCCTGAATCTCCCGCGCCCTCCATCGGGCATCATCGATCGTTTTCCCTCTTAGACCGGCACTCGCCTTTGGTGATCCATGAGCGCCTCTCAGTCTGCTCGATCCCAAGTCGACCATACAATCAGGAACCTATCAGACCGCTTCCTGTAACTTACCCTTCCTCGGGACTAATGTCTAGTTACGAGCACACCTGCTCAGTATGACCAAATCCTGACAATTACCTATTTTCACAGATCCGCATATTTAGGCCCAAAAATAAGAACCAGTGGTCACGCACTAGGGGCATTATATAAATCCTCACACATGTGAGAGTTAGGTATTGAATATTAACTACACCACTAAAACTCTAATACTTTGCTTGTATCTCCTTGCTCCCACACTTACTTGATCGTCGGAATGCCTTGCAGGTACAACCCCCTTTTTTCTTCCTCGACAATCCAGTCCGACAAAAGATCATCATCTGACTATCTTGTAGGTTTTAATCAACCGCTAAGATCAATAATAATAATAACAATAATAATAATAACAATAATAATAATAATAATAATAATAATAATAATAATGATGAAGATGATGATAATAATGATAATAATAATAATGATGATGATAATAATAATAATAATAATAAAGATGATGATGATGATGATGATAATAATAATAATAATAATAATAATAATAATAATAATAATAATAATAATAATAATAATAATAATAATAATAATAATAATAATAATAATAATAAAAATAAAATTAGAGACCCATGAGTTCCATTGCTAGACTTTTTAATTACTTGTTTTTATATATTAATGTGTCTAGTTTATATATTAAGCATATGTTCAATGAATCTATAAAATAAAAGTTTGCTTATTATAATTAACTTTTTAAGTAACACCAATTAAGAGGCAACACTAAGACTTAATTACTAAAGTAACATAGGAAGATAATTGGATACACCCAAAAATATTCAAGTTTTAGTTTAATAAGGCCAACAACAAAAGTATTCTTAAAAGTTGAATTAAGAATTAAGATTAATTGGATCGAAGTCTAGTGACCTTCTTAGCTAATCAAAATTTCTTAAGATACTAAGAAACTTTGACATTGCATCTTAATTCAAAAATTTTAAATTTTTTATATAATAAATATTCCATCAATTTTTAATCGATGTGAGACTCAATTACTCGTATTTTAATTATAATAACACGTATTTTAATTATAATAACACTGATCTTCATTAGGATCTCATTCTCTCTCCCTCACCATGTTGAACTAATAACAAATGATTCAATAACAAAAATTAATAACAAATGGTGCAATAGGTATTGATCTTGATTATGATATTAACTTAGAATTGTGATTGAGACTTACTCAATCTTAAAAAGTTAACTGTAATGCGAGAATTTCTCCACTTATAAACATGTTTTTAGATCATATCTCATATGCGGGAAGACTTTAACAAAAATGTTGCAAATATTTTTTTAAATAATTTTTTACATTAAAATTGTTATTTAAACTCAAATCCATATTTAATAAATTCTCATAAATTAGAATTAATATTTTTCTTTTATTTTATTGTAAATTATAGCGTTGAATAAAAATCTTATTGCTTTGAAGTATCATATTTACGCATGAATCTTGATAGAATAAATTCAAAGACAAAGATAATAATAATTTTTATTCAGATCCAGAAGTTTTATTCAAACGTGCCTTATGATAAAGGCAATGCCACTCTTGACGACAATCATAATTATAATTTTAAAAACATCAAAATCAGAATAGATGATTTAAAATAACATTTGATTAATATAGTGTGGCAATCTTATTATCAATCTCCTGGAGTGACTGCTTAATCAGCTAGCTGACGTCCTTCATGTTCTTCAACAACCATTTCTTCTGGTAGGTTTTTGTTTTTCATCGGATCCTTATCTTGAGAAATCTCTTGCATGATGAATTTTTCTTGTTTGGGTTCATCTGGATCTGACAAGACCAATGTTTCAAAATCAGGAGGATGTGAAACTACAGTATACGCCGAAATTTCACAAAGGGCCTTGGTGACCTTTTTTGCGATAACCTTCCTCTTTTGTGTGTAGGCAAGTTTCACCTTCTTCTTGAGCATCAT